GTCCCGGCGGGGCAGGACGGGGGTCCCGGAGGTGACGGGGGTCCCGGAGGTGCCGGGTGGTCCTGGCGGGGCAGTGTCGGGGGGTCCTGATGGTGCCGGGGGTCCTGATGGTGCCGGGGGTCCCGATGGTGTTGGGGGTCTCGGTGGTGTCGGGGTGTCCCGGCGGTGTTGGGGGTCCCGGCGGGGCGGTGCCGGGAGGTCCCGGTGGGGCGGTGTCGGGGGTCCCGATGGTGTCGGGGGTCCCGATGGTGTCGGGGGTCCTGATGGTGTCGGGGGTCCCGCGTGGGCGCGGCGGGTCCGGCCCCGCCCCGCGCAGTTTAAGAATGAACCGTGGGAAAAAAACTTGGGGGGTGCGCGCGGGCCGGGATCCCTCCGCCGGGCGGGGGAGGCTCCGGGCGAGCCGCGGCACCGCCTCGGCGCGCGGCGCCCTCCGCGCGAGGGAAGAGCTCCGCAGCGCGGCGGCGCCGGGACCGCGGCGCAGCCCCGGGGACAGGGCTCGGCCCGGCGGCGCCGCCGCCCCCGGGACGGACGCGCCCGCGGCAAGATGGGCGCCCTGGCCCTGGCTCTGGGGATTTTCCACTACCTGGGGCTCTACCTGCAGCTCGGCGCCGCCTCCCGGCACCCCCCGTGGGACGCCCCGGCGGCGGGCAGCGGTGAGGCGGCGGCCGGGGCTCGGGAAGGGGCGGCGGAGCGGCGGGAGCTCCCGGGGTTGGGTGCCCCGCGGGGCTGGCGGCGACTCGGGGCGGCTCCTGCTCGGGCAGCCGGACGGGTGCGGGGGATCGGGGTCCCGGTCGGGCTCTGCCGCCGAGAGCAGCCCCGCGTCGCGGTCCGTCGCGCCGGCGGCTCGTGGAGCGGGGGACAGTCGGGGCGAGCTGGGGTTGGGCTCCGCCGCTCCCGTCGCCGGCGCCCGGGGGGCGGCCTCTGCCTTCGCCGCTGGGCTGCCGAGTCGGGGGCTCTGTACGGTGCGTCCCGGTGCCCGCAGCCACCCTCACCCCGTGTCCGTGAGCCTCCCGGTGCCGCCGCCACCACCCACACCCCGCGTCCGCGAACCTCCCGGTGCGACTCCCGGTGCTCACCGCCGTCCGCATCCCGTGTCCGTGTGTGTCACGGAGCCGCCGCCACCACCCGTGCCCCGTGTCCGTGAACCTCCCGGTGCGCCTCCCGGTGCCGCCGCCCGCCCAGCCGGGTGGTGCCCCACGCCCCGGCAGCGGGGCGCCTCCGCCGCCTCCCGCTCCTCCTCTCCCTCCGGTGCACGGCGGCTCGGCGGGTCGGTGCTGCCGGCATCCACCGGGGCTGAGGAAGGGGAACCGTCCGTTGAGGAATCTAGCGTGGCGGCAGCTCTCTCGTGGGTGCCGAGAAGGTGACAGGGGACCAAGCCCCCTCGGAGGAGGCTGCTGAGACCCTCCTCGCTCTCTRTGAGTGACACGGGCTTGTTTAAATCTGAGCCCGAGGAGTGACCACTCGGGGACATGCTGGGTGCCCGGGTCCCAGCTCTTCCCCCCGCCCAGCTCCGGGGCCTCCCGTGTGCGGAGGGACCGCTCTCTGCCCCAAGGAGCCTCCAGGCGCAGACACCACGCCACGGTGGAAGGTGTGAGGTGTCCCGCAGTTTGCGGTGTCCCGCAGCGGTGCGTGGGCTGGCAGGTACCCGCCTGCCCAGGGAAGGGGCGATCAGCCTCTGCATTGGGGGGGATCACAGCAGGAGAGTTTCCAGACCTATCAGGCTGGCATTCCAGAAGGAAAGGTGGGTGAAAAGCCTCCATTAGCCACCGCTGCTCCCCTCAGAAATTCAGCAATAGGCAAATAAATAGTGAAATGGTCGCTGCGAGGGAGCAGGGAGCCAAGGAGAAGAAATATTCTGGGAGGGCGAGTGCACTTTGGAGCCACATTACAGCTCGCTACTCGAGCAGTTCTGCAGCAACTCACTTAATCACAACAGAAACCTTTATTAACGATACTGAAAAGCAGTGAATAAGTGGGTCATGTATAATAAGCCATTTGTGTTCAGTAGGTGAATACCAATTTGATAAAAGCTGTGTGTGCTGAAAACCTGTATAAATCGCTGTTTAGCAGATCGGAGATTGATCATTTCATTACCGGCTGGTGCGGCTTTCCCTCCACACACGAGAGTCCGTCAGGCTGGAGAYGTGGAGCGGGAGAGGGGCTGTGGGCAGCGAGGGGGATTCGGCGGGGGCTGGTGGGCACGGGCAGGTCCTGCCAGGCTCTGCCCGCAGCAGGCAGCGCCCGGAGCTCGCCGCCATCTCTGCCCGGTGCTGGAGGCCTGGAGGAGCCTCCACGGCATCGCGAGGCTCTGGCACAGCCCGGGAGCGTGTTCTCTCTTCCTTTTAACTTGTCCACGCCGAAGGCAGCGAGGGAATTGGCCGGCGGCAGCATGTGCTCCGCGGGCATCGGCGAGCGGCCGTGAGCACCCCCGGGGCACGGGCGGCTCCCCCATCCYGCCACGCCACAGCGGGCAGAGAGGTTCTGCTCGCAGGGCAGCCAAGGCTGTGGGAAGGGAAAAGTCACAATCAAAGAAAGTCCTTCTCCTGCCCCCACAGCAAAGGCTCTGCCTTTGGCAAGGATGGAGCCGGGATGGGCTCCGACTGCCCCGTGAGAGCATCTGAGCCGCAGGATTCTTCCCACCATCCCTTCACTACCCACAGTGCTGCCTCTCCCCCTTCTCTTCTCCTCTCTCCTCAGGCTGGCGCCTTCAATTATTCATGCCCCCCATTGCAGCCTGTGCACGCTGGGCTGCTGCCATCGGCTTTCTCATGCGCTGGCTGGGAAGCTCCAGCCGCCTTCCCAGCCTGCTGGCTCTGGAGCGGGGCAGGGGAGCCGTGCCGTGAGGAGGAGCAGCCCGGCTTCTTCCCGGCATCCTGTACAGGCGAAATCTGCTCGCCTGAGCAGAGCCGCGGCTGGAGGCTGGAGGGAGCGGAGCCCCGGCTCCCCAGGGCGCTGCCCTGCTCCGTTCCCTCACACCCCGGTGATTATTCTATCAATTACTTTCATAAACACTTTGCATTCCGCCGGATTTTTTCACACTTCCTGATGGGAATTCTCCATGCGATGTGTTTTTCCTGCTGCTGTTCGTGCAGTCATTCAACGCAATTACATCTGACACCTCTCCTCATCAAACGTCTGGGCTTTCTCTTCCCTTGAAGCGGCTGACAGACGACGGGCCAGACACTGGGAATTATTACGTTAGGACAGTGACAGCTAATTTTAATCATAACGCTCCCTGCGAGCGAGGCAGGAATCAAACCAACAGCCGGTCTGGGAGCCGGGGGCAGCACGGCGGGGCTGGAGTGGGTACCTGGAATGGGACCGGGAGCTGGAGGCTTTGTGCTGCTGCCCCGTTCATCAGGGGCTGCTCCGGGGCCGGATGGATGCCCAGGTGAGCCCCTGCTGAGCTCTCTCCCCTTCCCGGCTCCTCTGGGGGTTCGGTTCACGGTGTGAATGGAATTCTGCTCGGAACTGACAGCCCTTCTTGGCCCTATCCTGGACAGCTCTGTCTCTCTCCAAGCTCCTCAGCCGTTTCCCCTCCTGCAGGACTCTTTCCTGCCCGGCTGTCCCTCCCTGAGGCTCCGTCTGCGGTGGGTGCCCGATTGGGCACCGGGAATGCCCGCTGGGCTCGGTTGTGCCGGGGACATTGATGCCTTGTATCGTGTCCTGTGTGAGGAGCTGGACTGGGGTGAGCCCCGCAGTGATGGGATGGACAGAGATGGGCAGGACAGTGCTGTGTCCATGAGCACCGGGCACTGCCAGAGAGATCCCACTCTGCGGGATGGTACCAGAACCCGTGTGTGATGTGGACAGCTCTCGGCAGCGGCTGCCAGTGCCGGTGGTGGGTTTGGGGTGCTGGGTATGAGACCAGCGGGAGTGATCTTCAGCAGAGCAAAGCTCCTGTCTGCCCCATCCCATTCCTGCTGAATGATTCCTGCTGGGAATCCTCCCCTGCCTGYTGGGAACCATCCCCTAACAGAGAGCAGCACCAGAACGAGTGGTGTCTGCAGGATGGCTGCACACGCTGCCAGAGCCCCACTGGGAGCTGTCAAAAAAAGGCCATTTTAGGGCTTTGCTACTTATACTATCAAATAACAGCTCTTCCCCGAGCCCCCTGGGAGGGAATAGTCTGAGAACTGCGACTCCCCAGGAACCAGACGGGAGCAGCAGGTCCCTTTGCATGGGCAAAGCTTCGTGTAGCCGGGGCCAGACTGGAGGGACTCACCACTGATGTCTCTCCTCTTGTGAAGATTAAATATTAGGGGAGTGGGAAGATCTGGGGGCAGGATCTGGGGCAGCCCCCAGTGATGGGCCATTCTTGGAAATACCTGCAGTTTTCAAGGTTAATTCCAGCTTCCCGATGAGGTGAGCGCTGGCCTGATCACAGTCACTGAATTAGCTGGAATTTTGTTTTGTTTTTTCATTCACGTGTTGCAAATTTGAGCTCCTTCTGCTGCTCATATGACAGCAAAGAGGGGCAGAGCAATGGCGCTGCCATCCCCAGCGTGTGGCGGCCCCAGCCACGGCCGCAGCGCTCCATCCTGACGCGTCTCGGGGGAAGGGAGAAGCCGGATCGCTGGAGGAGAGCAGCGCTCAGCGCCGAAGCTCTCTGCCCGCTGGGCTGCCAGGGCCGGAGCCACCTGCCCTCTCTCAGCGGTGACGCGGCCGTCACGCCGTGTTTATGCAGCGGTTTGCACCGCGATGTGTTTTCAGCGCCCCGGGGTCAGCATCCCTGCTCGCAGGCTTGTCAGGAGGAGCCGCATCCACAGCTGTTATGTTAGCGGCGGCGCGAACGGAACGGAACGGGAGGGGATGGAGGCTGCAGCCCGACCTGAGCAGCAGCCGCTGGCAGATCCAGTGTCCCCGCGGCGGGGACAGCGTGGGTCACACAGACGGTGCACTGGGATAGCGCCCAGGCCTCTTCTGGGTCCAGCCGACGGGTCCCGGGACGGCTCCTGCTCCTGTGCCGAGGGGTKGGGGGTCCTGTGGCACCCAGGAGGGTCCATCGGTCTCTGTGTCCCTGCCCTGAGTGCCGGGGTGTGCCTCGGGTGCCTTTGCTGCAGGACATGGTGCCCCTGGAGCCGGGGCTGTCGCTTTCCGTCGGCCACAGCAGCCGTGGATTCCCGGGAAGGGGAAGGTGCCGGAGGGGCTGTGGGTGCCGGGGGACAYTGCCAGTGCTGGTGATTGTGCTGGACACGTTTGYTTTTCTGCAGAGGTGCAGCACAAACGCAGCAAGTCCGAGCCGCCCCCGCGCCAGGGACGCAGGGCAGGTCTGGGTGGACACACGAGGGGCAGGAACAGGAGCAGAGGGACATTCAGCTCCCCCAGCCCCTGTCCCTGCCCAGCGTGGGACGGAACCAGCCCCAGCCCTCCCGCCTGTTCAGCTCCTGTCACCCCAGCCGGCTGCAGCTCCGGTGAGGGGCTACAGCTCAGCTGGGCAGGGAAAAGCTTCTGAGTCCCAGCACTGCCATGGCTTGGGAAAAAAAATCCCTCCCGGAGCAGGAACCTGCGCTGACCGRGTGATTAACAGGCGTTTGCAAATGTCCAATGCATATTTAATTGCCCTCCGGTACATCTTTACACAAACATTAACCTGACTACGTGCCCATGGCGCAGCTCCAGTCGTGTCTGTCCTTGGTCCCTTGTGGGGGTTGTGGTGGGGGGCCGTGGAAGCTGTCTCAGCTGCGGAATGTCAGGCAGCAGAGAGAGTTCTGGAGAGCCTCCTGGGGGCTGTGTGGTTTTCTGTGCTCCATGGGGCCTGTGGATGGGGCAGGGGGATGGAGGGGGACGGATCAGGGAGATGGGACAGGGGGATAGGGCAAGAAGATGGAGCAGGGGGATGGAGCAGGGGGATCGGGCAGGGGGATGGAGCAGAGGGACAGAACAGGGGCCTGCCGGTCATTTCCAGGCACTCAGGGCGATGCACGACCCGCCCTTGCCCCAGCACAGCTCCATCCCCGCCGCTGGCAGCCCCCTCCCCACACAGAGCGTGACCAAGGTGAGGGATGGTGCCCACTGCGGGGAGGAAACCTGCAGCCCGTCTGTCTCCGCTTTATGAGAGCACCAAGCTGTCCCAGCAGGCGTTTTCAATTCCGTTTATCTGTGTTTCCCCATTGAGTTCATTTTATTTCCCCTGATTTTTGTTTCCTGGAAGATTTATCGATCCTGGTGCTCTCAGTTTATGACAGGTAGCAGGCCATAAAGCCCGCGGAGCAGCGGCCCCCGATGGCCCCTCCCTCCCTCCGTGGGGACACGACACCAATGTCAGTGTGGGGAGAGGGATGGGCCAGGGTGGGCAGGGGGCTGGGGTGCTGGAGGGACAGGGCACTGCCCAGAGCTGGTGATTTGTCCAGTGTTGGCAGGAGCAGGGTCCAGGCAGTTTGGCCAGCCCGGTGCAGGGTCCATGCCCAGCCTGGGTCTGCCTGGGGGGTTCTGGTCACAGCCGTGTCCCTGTGAGGGGCAGGGCTGGGGGTGCAGCGTGTCACCACTGTCCAGGGACCACAGTGTCCATCAGGGATGGCACACGGTGCTGCTGGAGGACACATCTGTCCCCACAAAGGTGATGACCCTGGTCRTCCATCTGCAGGACTTGCACTCCCCTGGATGCGTTTGGAGGTGGCCGAGCTCTGGGGTTAATTAATGCATGCGCTTCCCAATTAAAATCAGAAAGAAAGAAGGTGCTTGATTCAATCCAGCCTTTTCTCCKCTTATCTGCCAAATTCCCGTCTGTGGGAGCAGATTTTAATTGTGTTCAGGGTAATCTGGAGCCCTCAGGGTATCACCCCGCCCTGCACTGCAGGAGCTGTGGTGTCTGGGGAGCTGGTGCAGGCTCTRCTGGGACCCACTGGCTTTGGTCACTGCTCCGGCCAGCAGGAATTCTGTGGGGCAAGAGCCTGATCCGGGCTGCAGCCAGGGAATGGATGGCGAGTGCTGGTTCATGGCCGGGCACAGCAGCCTCAGCACGGAGGAACCCTTTGCCCTGTGCCAAGGCCCCCTCCGGTCACCAGAGCTGTCCCTCTCCCCGCGGTTCCCTCTCCCTGCCCCTCTCCCTCCACTCCCCAGCACAGAATCCTCCTGGCTGCTGGTTCTGGGTGAACGGGATGTGGGAGCAGCACCGGGAACTCCACCGGGAGACCCAGCCTTGGTAAACTCCGGTGTTGGGTATTTTTCTCCACTCCCTGCTGAGATGGATTAAAGGAAAGCGATAAGTGGATGGGATTTCCATGCGTCCAGAGGGACGGGGAGATATTAGAGGTATTAACTTTTTGTCTGGGCTGATAATAATTGGTTTTCAGAGGGATCAGGGCTGGAGAGAGCATTGCTCCCGACAGGCTGCGTGTCCCAGAGGGTTCCGGTGGCTCCGGTGGGACCTGCACTGTGGCAGCGCATGCAGCATGAGGTGCTGAGTGAAGACAGGAGGCACAGGGCAGCCTCTGCGGCCAAAGCAGTGACCAGGGGGTGCAGGGGGCTGGCAGCCCTGTCCCTGTGCCACGGAGAAGCCACCACACCGACTGTGGCAGCAGCGTTTGCCGGTGCCCTGCTCGCCGAGGCTGTCTGTACGGAGGAACAACCATCTCTCCAGAGGAGATGAAAAGAATTCTAATTACATCTCTGAACAATATTTGTTTTGAGAGAGGAAAGCAAACCATATGGCGTGTGGGAGCCTGTTTGGGGCCGCATTAAGCGAGGATTTGTTTTTCAGTTATGTCCTGATCTGAGAGAGAAGAAATCATTCTCTGTTTCTTACACCTCAGAGGTGCAGCGGGTCTCGTAATCACTCTGGGGCAGAGGTCCGAGCGATGCTGTRGGAGCGGGGAGCCACAGGCTCCTGCTCCTCCCTTTCCCCACTTTGCAAAGTGCACGGTGGGGCCAGGCAGCACTTCTGGGGGTGGGGAGGGGACACTGGGGTGGGACAGGAGAAATTGGGGATGACAGGGACCTGTCTGCTCTGCTGTGGGGGCCGGGTTGGCTTGGCTGGGGCTGCAGGCATTGTCCTTCACGGGGACAGCGGAGTGTCCCCGCAGGCACCCACAGCCCTCGCTCTGTCTCCAGCAGCTCTGTTCACCGAGACTCCCCACGATATGACGGCGCAGGCGGGYGAGGATGTGGAGATGGCGTGTTCCTTCCGCGGCAGCGGCTCCCCGTCCTACTCCCTCGAGATCCAGTGGTGGTACGTCCGCAACCACAAGGACTGGACGGACAAACAGACCTGGGCTTCCAGTCAGGTAATGCCCCTCGCCCTTCTGCTCCTCCACGGCAGCACGGAAAGGGAGAGCCCTTCAGGCAGAGAGAGCCCTTCAGGCAGAGAGAGCCCTTCCCCGTGCTGGCCCAGGGGAAGGGTTTTGTTTGCAGCCACTCTTGGGTGTTGATGGGGGACCCCAAACCGCAGGAGCGTCCCCAGCGCTGACCGGACCCTCAGGGTTTCACCCTCTCTACTCTGCCAGAGGGTGCAGGACCCTGCAAGGGTGCTCAATGTCCAGCTGCACTGAGGATGCTCCAGGGCCAGCGGGGCTGGGCTGTCCTGGCTGCCCTTTTACAGCCAAGGTGCTGCCTGGCCCGTTGCCATGACCCATCCCAGACTGAAGCTTTGTTTTTTTTGCTTGTCCTTGTGCCTTCACCTATCTCCTCACCAGCTCATCCCTCCYGGCCCTGCACCCTCCATCCCTCCCCTGTCCCCTGTTTCCCTGTGTATTGGTCCGGCAAACAGCCTCTCTTTATTCCTCTCTCTGTTCACACAGAGATAAGGGCCGAAGAATGGGAAGCAGCTTTGGGGATTTTAATGAGCCTTTATTGTAGTGTCTTTGGCAGAGCTGCTGCCGGTGTTGCCATAAATGGAGAAGCCTCAGGGCAGCGCTGCCGGGATGGGGGAGTGCTGCCAGGGGTCAGGGGTGGACAGGGTGCTGGAGGCACTGGGAAGGATGGAAGAGAGGAGTGGTGGCAATGGGGCAGGTGCTGGCAGTGATGGGAAGMGTTCCAGGGACAGGGATCACTGCTCCAGCAACGATGCCAAGGTGATCAGAGCTCCATCCCCACTCCTGGATAGTAGGAGCACCGAGAGCTGAGATGCTGTGGGACCCGTGGGTGAGCACCCTGTGCTCCCTGGCTGCTGGGCTGCTGCTGGTTCCTCCCATCCCATGTACCCGGTGTGGCTTCATCTGCCCTGGGTGCCTGGGTTTGCTGGGGCTGAGCAGCSCCTTCTCCCTCCTCCCTCTTCCTCCTTGTCTGGGGCAGCCATCCTGGGAGTGGGCAGGGCTCTGGTGGGCTGAGCTGACCATTTCTCTCCCCTCTCTGCTCTCCCCCTACCCTGCTCTTCCCACAGCTGAAATCATCACCTCCAGAGGAGCCTGGCAAGGAGGCGACCAAAATCAGCGTGAGTTTGGGTGATGGTTCTTGCAGGGGGCTGYGCTTGAGGGCTCACTGGGACATTGAGCTGGGCCCTGTGCCACAGGCTGGRAACACCAGGGTGGCAGAGCTGGGTGTGCCCTGGCTCAGTGTGGGTGACCAGGGTGAGGGACGGCTGCCCTGCTCTCCCTGGCACTGAGAGGCACAGCCTGGACCTGGAGTCTCGTCCAGCATCTGAGCGACACATTAATGCCAGRGATAAAATAATCCAATTGACTCAGMGGATTAGCATCCCAAAGCCATTTAGGCTCACGTGAGCAGAATGAGGAGCCACTAATGAGTTAAATAAAACACTCTTGGCTGTCTGCTGCCAGGTGTGTGCTCCCCTGGCTCTCCCTGCCTCGGGGAGCTCCGTGACTGGGGGTGCCACAGACACAGATCAGTGCTGGCAGTCTTCCCACCATCGCCTGGCAGCCTCTCCTGGCACTTTCATTTTTCCCTCACTGAGTGAGCAAGGCGGGATGGGGGCTGGTCAGGCTCCTGTGGCTTCTCTGATGGGTGCCCTCCACACCCAGGATCAGTCCCTTATCCCCAGAAATGACCAAGAGTCTTTTATAAGGGGTAAAACACCATCTGCTCATCTTCAGAATCAGCACAAGATTCTCTTGCTGGTAACAAATCCCCTTCCAGGACTCAKGTCCCCTTTGACTGATTCACACCCACAACCCATTTCCAAATTAAGCAGGTTCCTCCAGGATCTGTCCCTCACCAGGGTGTTGTGGCTCCTTGACCCACAARCAGGAAAGTTCCAGGAGCAGCCAGAGCCTGGACTCTGTCAGACTCTGTCTGCAGAACCCGGGGGCTGCTGCTTCCCACATTCCACCCCAGCCCTGCTCCAGGGCCAAGGAGGAGCAAAGGCAGGTGCATGGAACCATCCTGGGGCCAGCACTCCCTCTCAGCTCACCCGTTGCATGTTTCAGCATAATTAGGCAGTTAATTGCACGCTGGGATGGAATTGATGGGTGTGCGAGTGTAACCGGGATTTATTTTGAATCATTCGAGGTCTCTGCTGCCTCCTCCAGATCCAGCCAGCAGGGAGAGGCTGGGGCTTCAAACCTCTTTTGTTTGTTGTTATTTCAAATGTCCTTGATCATTAAGTGTTTATGGAATGGAGGAGGTAAATGAGCACGGGTGGTTCTGACGGAATTTGCRGTACAGCCACAACAGCAGGTGCCTGGGAACAAACAGCAGAGTCAAACAGTGAGGGGGGGTGTAAATCCCACACGGGAGCTSTGCCAGGCACCCCTTGGCCCTGTGTGATCCACCAAACACACCTGGTGCTGGAGATGCTTTGCAGGGATGAGGAATAGGGAATATCCTCCAGGATAGTCTGGGTTTAATTTCTGCCCCTTTGAATCCAACGGCACAGCACAGGGCTGAGCTGGGGCTGGGCACAGGACATCTGCCCATCCTGACCATGCCAGGGGCTGTGCCCTGTTCCCSTGGGCAGTGAGGGCCGTCACTGCCCTGCCTGTGCTGACCAGAGTTATGGCCAACCATAAAACCCTCCYTCCTGAGGCTCAGTGACCTGCTGGGTAGCAGCTCCGTGGCCACTGGTGGCACCAGCAAATTGGGGTTTTATTTTATTAGTTCTAAATTTCCCAGCCATTAATTTCAGTGACTTCTGGCTCTCCTGATTAAGAGGTTTTTTTGAAGCTCTTTTCCCATGACAGTCTCAGCATCTGGGCACACTTGCACTGGCGCCTGGCAGCTCCTGCCCCTGCTTTGTCCTGTCCCCTCAGACTCGCACTCCCAGTGATGCAGAACTGGGGCTCACRGCTTTATGTGGGCTCTGAGATGCTGTTTGGGGTGGCCTTGGCTGTGACCTGCAGCACCAGCTGCCTCTCAGCCACTCCTGGCATGCAGGGCAGCTGAATGCATGTGTGTGCTCACATGTGTTTGTATGTGCACATGTGTGCCWGCATGTGCCAGCACAGGATATCCCCACAGTGTGGAGCTGAGGGGTCATTGAGGGGACAYTGCGCTGCCCCCTGCATTGTTTGGGGTGGGTTTTACCCCTCTCCAGCCCCGTTTCCAAACACCATAAAATCCTCAGCTAACAAACGCAGCGGCGAGTAGAAAAATGGCCTTTGCCATCCAGTGTGATTATAGGGAACAGAGCCAGGGGCCTCGGGGTGGGTTATAAATCTGATTTATTGACCCAGCCCAGAGCAGCCGCGGCTCTGGCTAGTGAGTAAGTCTTAAATTTCATTGGGTGATAAATACTGAGAGCGAATCAATTTGGTAGAAAAGCTAATTAGCCAGCGTGGTTCCGCATCGATCTCCGAGCCCTGCGTGGCCGGGTGCGAGCCAGGGCTTCCATCATCCCGTGTGCCCAGGCTGGGGCTGGGTCCCYGACTTCACCAACCTTTACCATGTCCTCCCCAGCACAAAGCTGGGGTGTGGCGTGGTGGGACACGGTCGGGGGTGGCATTGACCCGGCTGTTTGGGGGGGCAGGGGGAGTCCTGGGGGCCCCCTGACCCCCTGTCTGCCCCAATGCAGGTGGTGAAGGTGGTTGGCAGCAACATCTCCCACAAGCTGCGGCTGTCGCGGGTGAAGCTGGAGGACGAGGGGACCTACGAGTGCCGGGTGATCGACTCGAGCGACGGCAAGGCGCGGCACCACAAGGTGAAGGCGTACCTGCGGGTGGAGGCGGCGGGGGGCCCGGGGCACCCCCAGGACACCGAGCTGCGTGGGGCCCCGCTGGCAGAGCTCGCCGCGCCGGGCTCAGCCCACGCACACCACCACCATCACCACCACAAAGCCGGGAAGGAGCTGAAGAAGCGCTCGGCAGACACCTCCTGTGTGCTGTAGGTGGGCGGTGCGGGGGGAACGCCGGAGCCCCCTCCGCCCCGGACTCAGCGGAGCCATCACGGGTCCCGCAGCCCCTGCCAGAGACTGGCCCCACCGCCCCGTCTTGTCCACCACCACCCCTCACCGCCAGAGACTGGCCCCACCGCCCCGTCTTGTCCACCACCCCTCACCATCTCCGCCTCCCGCAGGGCGCCGCGGGTTCCTCCCCCAGCCCCGTGCCCGGGCTCGGTGCGGTGCGGGAGCAGGACCCGTCCGTGCCACGGGTGATCGCTGGGGCCGTGCCCGGGGCCAGGCCGTGTGCCCCATCCCCCTGTCCGGGTGGGCTCCCGCTGCCCCCGTGGTGCCGCGGGCTGTGCTGTGTCCCAGCTCCSTGCCCACGGACCCTCCCTGCCCTGCCCTGTCCTGTGCTTCGCAGAACCAGCCGCCTGTTCCTGTAGGTTGCCCCATTTAGTTGCTCGGTTCCAGCTCCACAGTGCGTATCTGAGTTCCAGCCTCCATCCCACAGCCCGTGTGTATCCCCTCGCCCTGCCCTGCCCCTGCCTGCCCCGAAGCCCCCAGCACGTCAAGGCCTGAGCTCAGCAGAGGARGGACGGCACGGCACGGCACGGCACGGCACGATCCCGGCACACTCCGGCCTCGCTCAGCCAGGCAGCTGCCCGTGCTCCGTGTGTGCCTGGGGAGCTGTGCCATCACAGCTGGCCCCCTGCACCCATCGCTCCTGCCCCTGGCATTTCACAGAGGATGCAGGGCTCATCGCCAGCCCTGTCCACCCTGGCCCTGTCCCGCTACCCGTGCCAGCAGCTCTCGGCCCCCTCCCAGTCGAGCATTCCTCCCTGCCAGGCCACAGCACTGCATCTCCCTGGGCAGGGCCTGGCCCCAGGCTCCTGTGCCGCAGTGCAAACAGCAGAGCCCGTCCCTGCTGCCCCCACGGGTGACCACGGCCACTGGGGACAGAGCTGTGGGGAGAGAGAGGGGGGTCCCGAGCCTCCCCGCCCGGGTGCCGCTCCCCTGCTGCCCCCCAGCCTGCCACCATCAGACCTGCTGCAGCTAATAAAGCTCTTTAAASGAAGCCAATGTGGATGTGTGCTCTCTGTCCACGCCACGGCAAGGGGACATGGCTTTGGAAATGCCTTGGGTAAAAAGGGGCAGAGCTGGGGCTGCTGGACTGGGGGCAGTGGGGATGGGGATGAGGGGTGGCATCAGCATTGTTCCCTGCAGCCGAGGGCTCAGAGCATTAAAAAACTGCAGCTGGGRAGCTCCTGCCCAGCCGGGYGCTGCTGCCCTGAGRGGTGCAGGAGGAACAAGAGCTGCTGTCATCCTGTGCTGGGGGCAGGACAAGGCAGAGGTGGGGGGTGCCTCTGGAGCCATGGTCACCTCTGCCACCTGGAGAGGTGTCTTGGGGAGCAAAGGGCACAGGAGAAAAACATTCAGGAGCTGCAGGGCAAGGAGAGGCTGCTGGTGCAGAATGTCACTTTGCCACAAGCAGTAACGGTGACTGTGCAGTAGTGATCCCTGGCAGAGCTGTGGGGTTGTGGCTCTGCTCAAATTCTCCCAGTCAGGGAATGGGATTGCTAGGGGAAGAGAGATTGGGATGTATTGGTCACCAGTGCAGCAGAAAACAGGCTACAGCAGAGGAAAAGGAAGAGCCACAGACACGCTGGGGAGGGCAGCAGGCTGCAAATCACCTCAGACGGGGAGTAAACAAATTGCTGTGCAGAGYAGTGATTTGTAAAACCTGGAGGTGAGCTTTAACAATAACAGGTTTTATTAGAAGAGATTAATTTTGCTGAGTTTATATGAAATCYTGGGAGAGGACCCTGCTGGATCCATGTGTGTGGCTCAGCAGAGCCTGGTGCAGGGGCTGTGTGTRGAACTGTGCCCCCAACCCCACGTGTGGCAATCTCCCATGGTCCTGGCTGGGTTGGTACATGGAAGGAGTTGCTGAACACTGTTTTCTCGGCTCCCAGAGTGTGGTTGGAGTGGGGGGAGCCAGGGGCTCTTGACTCTAGTGTGTTGGGGGCTTCTTGGGGGAGGAGGGTTGCARCAGGGAAGGCCCTGGGCTTGTGAAGGGGCTGAGCTTAATATGCAAGTCACTGTTGGGGAGAACCAGCCTCATGAAAATGCCATTTCCACGCAGTCCCTCTCCCAGCCATTATCCTGCCTCAGACAAAAGCAATTTACTCAGCCTCCAATAAAGCAAGGGCGAAAACGAAGCTGAGAAGAGCTGACTGTRACAGGCAGGACAGCCTCTCCTGCCACCAGCACCCACCTGCTGGCTGGGGCTGAGGCTGTGGGGAAAATCTCTGTGAGASCAGCACGAATCACAGGCTCTAGGGYGGGTCTTKGYRCAGTCAGCTGTGCCAGAGCCCTGGCTGGGTGATGTGTTGGTTCCTGGGCACTGGGCAGTGATGGGGCAGTGCTGCCCTTGAGTGCCATGCCTGTCCTGCAGGATGGCAAGCCTTGGCATGGGCAGGCTGGATCCTTGGAGCCGAGCGGAGCCAGGCTGGATGCAGCATCTGCACCTAATGGATGAGTTTTGTCAAGCGCTACAACAACCCAGAAAACTGCACCAGCCCCAAGGGCGCTGGGAAACCAAAAGCAGTATTTCACCTCCCTGCCTGCCCTGTCAGAGCAGCTCTGAAGGCTCCTTTGTATAGAACCCAACCAGCGTTAAGCACTGAACAGATATTAAAAAAGAATAAAGCTGACCTGCAGCCCTGTCCTACTGGGTAAAAAGCCAATGACTTGTGTTTTCCCTGGAGAAGCAACCAGCAGTAAAGACTGAATAAAACCAGGGAGACAAGGRGAAGTAACTTCAGCTGAGGGATGTGGGCAGATGCAGTAGTGCCCTCGGGCCCACCAGCAAAGACACATTTTGGATGCTCACCCAGGATCCCCAGCAATGATGCACAAAGCCTGCTCCATGTAACAATCCATTTATTGCTTTGGTTTTTGAGCTTGCCCCCAAACTTAGTCAAAATCTGCCCTTTTATTTCACTTGCATAGAACTTCCCCAAGTGCCAGGAGGCAGCCAGCTGCCAGGAGCTGCTCGGGTGAAGCTGAGGGGTCCAGGAGCCAGTGAGGTCTGGGACCAGCTGAGTGAAGCAGTGCCTGTGGACAGTCTCTGGGGAAAGAATGTGGGAGTTGGAGATCASGGGAGAAGCCCCTCAGCAGGGAGAGTGAGCTGATCCCAAAGACGTGTCATCTGCTCACTGTGCCATGTTGTACCTGCTTGGGCAAGCCACAGCACTGCTGGGGTGCCACCGTGCTCACACCCCCTGTCACCGTCACCGTCTGACCATGGATAGATGCAGARACTCTACCGGGGCACAGGCAGGTGCTTCATCTAATTCTCCTTGGAGTGGGGGTTAGAAATGGCCTGAGAGAACTCTGATCTGGGCATGGGAGAAGCTGTAAATCACTCCCTGGTGTAAATCAGGGCTGGCTGATGCTCTACAGAACCTCAGAGAGAGTGAGATAGAGAAGAGAGAACATTTGGCTGCCTCTAGCCAGCCTCAGCAAACCGCAGCTGCGAGGAGCAGCCCTGATGCTTCTGCGAGGACACATTGTTCCTGCCAGTAACACAGGTGAAGAATTTACTGGAAATGCACTTTAACTTCTGAGATTAACTGGTTTTTAAATGAACAGGTTTACAGCAGGACCCAAACAAGATTCTCTTGCACCCCAAACAAGATTCTCTTCCTRGGAAGGGTAAAGGCCAGATAAAGCTTTTGCTTAGAGTTGTCARTCACTGTCCAGCTGAGAATGGGAGGGATCATCACAGCTGTGAGGAGGTCAGAGAGGTTGGGGGGTGCTAAAGGGGCAACCCCCAAGGATCAAGGATTAGGAAGTAATTTCTGGAAGGTGACTCGCTCTTCATGTGCCATTTTCTCTACATATGCTGCTGGAAAGGCGCAAGTCAGGAGGAGTCAGGGTCATGTACCCACCTCATCCTCAAACACTGCTTCAAAAAATAAACCTTCTGCCAYGAGGACGGTGTCTCAGCCAGTGCCCCAGACTGGGCAGCCCTTCCTTTGCCCMTGAACCATTTGGATCCTCAATGATGGCGTTTTTCCAGGTGAACTCTATCCTGGTGGTTCCTCTTTCCCATCCCAGCTGCTGTGTAGGTCTGTCAGGGAGGAGATGCCTCCTGTGTGCTGGTCCCTGGCCCCGTGCCCTCGTGCTGCTGCAGCCTCTGGAGCAGGAGCACCACGTTGTCAGTGAGCTCATTCCGGGGTCGCCCCATCCCGCTGAGCTTCACGGGGCGCAGGCTGGCGTGGGGGGGCTCGTACCCCTCGGGGCAGCACACCTCGTTCAGGAGCAGCCAGGTGCTGTCAGGGTCCACGTGCATCAAGTGCAGGAAAACACTGTGGAAAGCGCAGGAAGAAAGGAGAGTAAGGACAAGGGTTAGCACCCAACAGGGTTATTAAGAGCTAAGAAAAGCTTTGATGGCACTGGCAACCTCCGGCAGCTGAACAAACTTGGCTCCTTACAGAGGGCAGAGCTATGCCCCCGTGCTTGAGAAAGCAGCTCTGTGTCTCACAGCAACTGGCAAGTGGGAGAAAAATATTTATGATGCTACAGTYGTGGACATCAAACAAGCAGCTGGTGCAGAACTGACCCAGGCTTGGTGCTGGCACAAGCCTAAACCTGCCTGTTCCACACGCTGGGGAAGTGACTGTGGGGTGCTGCATGCGCTGCTCATATCTGGGATCTTTTGGACAACACCTCCTGCAGAGATCTTAGTGGTCTGTGTTGTTCACCTCCCTCTCTGGTTTTTGGGGAGTGAGGGAGTTAACTCATCTGGGCTTTTCTGCCTTTCCAGAGGTGGCAAACACAAGGGTATTTGGGGCTGCTGCCCAGGCTGGGCCTCAAGGGAAGTGCAACTCTACATTTGAAGGCTTTTTGTTCAAGTGAGATCTCCCCCCATCCCAAGTCCTTATTAGAGGCCTCCAAATTTTTGTTCTTCTGCACAGCACGTTTCACAAAGCAGGATTTTAAACCAAAACCAAATAGAACCTTCATTAACAACAGAATGAAGGAGAAGAGAAATCACAACTTCCTCTGCAGATTTACTGCCAGTGTTGATGGTTTTCACTTTGCATTTCCATACCTCGGTAAGATGGGATTTGCCTTTCCAGCATGCCCTTCACACTGGGCCCAGCTGTGAGCTGCTGGGACACAGCTGCTGCTGGAGAGCAGGAAGCTTGAGGAGTGAAAGAGCAAATGCTGAYTTGTGTGACCTACAGTTACCCATCCCCTCCTGACAGCTCTCCCTGCAGCAACCTTTGGGCTTAGCTAGGTCTGTGTCAGGGTTTAATGCAYAGAAGGTGCATTAAATAGTATTAAATTCTCTGGCTGTGCTGTGGGCAAAATTAAATTGAAATTTGCAAGGCCTCTTCCTGAATGGTGCTGAGTGCACTGTGATCACCAAAGGCACTCAGCACTCATGTCTATGGTACAGTTTTCCAAGATCCCTGTAAAGCCAGACATGSATCTTCAGGTCTCAAGTTTTCACTGAAATCATGGAGCTGTGAGGAGAACAGCAGCTGGGTGAGGTAATGGGAAGAGAAATCAGGTAGGTCTGTCTCTGCTCCCCCAAGAAATACACGACTGAACTCCCTCTCTAAAAGCAAAGATCACCTGCTACAAAAGCCACACAAAATCCAGACCTGACTGCTGTCCAAATTTCTCCTGGAAGAGCTTTCATCCCTAAAGTGAGGTTGCTTCCTATGTAAAGCAGGRAGAAATCCCTTTGAGAAGCTCTCCTCTGAAAGGGAGTGCAGTGCCATGGGTAACGTGAAAGAGCACAGAAATGAGATGAAGGCAGGAGAGAGCTCCCTCCCCTCTTCACAATAACCCTGTGGATGTGGGACTCATCATGTGCAGCCAAAGCTGTTCTTTTGCCTCTCTGCCATTAACACCYCGCCTGTCCCTCAGCACAGGTCTCAGAACAGCAGGAGGGGAGATGTCACCACTGAAGCTGTTGGCACTGTCCCCTCCCAAAGGTGCTGGCGGTGCCTATCTGCCTGCTTCAGAGGAACCAGTGGGAATGTGCTCTACACTGATAGCTGGGCTTGGCAACAGCTGCYTCAGCAACACGACTTTTTTCTGTGGATTGGCCAAATGCAGGTGAGCTCACAGGACTCCTTGTTCCCCTGGCTTTGCTCCTGCAGCTCAGGAAGGGGAGGACTGGCCCAAGCAAGAGGCTGGCAGGGGCAGGGCATGGAGCTCTCACCACTGACATCCCAACTCCAGCTCCCCAAATCCCGCCCTGCCCGTGCCCTCAGCTTGGCTCTAACAGTGGGAGCACACAGCTCTGCCAGCAAACACCAGCTCCCAGTGGTTCCACCCAGTTCTCAAGGAGCTGCTGTTGCTGGGCAGCTGCAGAGATAATCCTTGCTCCTTATGGCTGGGATAGGAGCARGCAAGGACAACAAACTGCTGTGAAGTGAACATGGGAATGGGGAATATTGTTCAGCAGGCTGCTGATCCCCAGCACACACACTGCTGTACCTCTTACACTCACAGCACAGGCWCTCTGCTCTCCAACCTCTTCCCAATCAGCTGCTCCAGGGAGAGCGACCCTCAGAGATTACCCAGACCCCAGAGAACTCTCTGCCTCTGGTGCCCATAATGGCTCAAGGCTGTGATTATCCCTGATAGCCTGGAGTGCTCGGCAGCTTAAAGAACAACTTGACTTTTACATTTTCAAACTAACTCTGGGGTAGTTTCCAAGCAACCTGTTTCCATAGCAAAGAATCCTGGGGTTAATCYAAGTTTGTTTTCTGTTGTTGCCTTTTTCTATTTTTTTTTCTTTTCTTAAATATCACTTTATTGAATTTTGCCTTGAGCAGGTGGCTGTTCTGTTGTGCTTCAATCCAGCCTGGGAGTGACAGCTGACAGTGAGTATCCAACAAACCACACAATCAAACCAAAAGAGGTAAGCTGCATAATCAACCTTGGTATCAAAAAAAGGTCCCAAAATAGCTTGTATTTGTCCCAAGTGTGCTAAACATATTCTACCAGCACAGAGCAGTTTGGCTGCTCTGTTGCCTTGTCTGTTCCCAAGCTCCAAGCAAAGCCATGGCACAGTGACCAGACTGGCAGAAGGACGAGGCTTCCTGGCTTTTCATCCCTGCTGAATGTTTGACTGGATACAGCACACCATAGGCTCCAGTAAGAACTGAGGAAATTATATCTKAGGGGGAGAAAAAAATCATTCCTATCCAGACTATTGACTGAAAGGTCAAACAAACTTYGTGAGCTACAAGCATTTAGTAGGAATTAAGCGTAAATTTCAAAACAGTCACTTGAAACGGAAAGAATGAAAAACTACTTGTCAGTTTTGACAGGGGCCAGTGACAATTTCCTAATCTCTTTTCCTTCAAGGTTTTATCCCCTGAAATGAAAAGSTTGTCAGGGATGATGCAACTTCATAAATTGATGCGAAGCTCAGATTTACAAACTGTGAATTTCAGTTTCCAGCATCTCCCTCTGCCTTGTTCCCATTGCTGGGGCCCCCAAAAAATCCCCTTTGCTCAAGTCTTTCTGGCCATGTCCCCTCCTTTGCACTGGCTCATCTTCTTCAATGAAGGCAAAGACTTGTTTAGTGCTCCCTGGAATTCCCAAACTCTTCTTCAGTAGGTTTGGTCCCTTTGGTGATTTTGCATTTGTTTTTTGGTTTGTTTTTTTTAAAAAAAGCTTTGGATAAAACTCTCCTGGAATACTCCCAGCAGTTATCTTCTAGTAAAGCCTATTGTTATGTGTTGGAGTTCTTTTTTTCCCAGTGTCTATTTTTGCCTGGTGAGTATTCCRTGAAGCTGCAGCTACAAAAATCACTTACTCCCACTGCTTCATCTAATAAAGCTACAGGGTCCCATAAATGGGATTAAGCAGACTCCTCRGGGCATGATAACATCCCTGGATAACAGCCAAACTTCCTTTTTCCTTTTTTCTTTTTTTTGTGTGTGTGTGTGCCTCAAGCACCTCGGCCAAAAATTCCTGCTCAGCCCTCTGCACGCCCACAGAATCTTCATGTAGTCAGTGTACAATTTTTGGAGCTACAACTGACTTTGCAAGTCCTGACCTTGCTCTTGACAGGTCACAACCCATCAGCTGAATAAGGATCCTAAGAGCTGAGCAAAGGCCACTTAGTATAAATCACTATGGCAAGCTGATTCCAAACATCCTTTTACCTCATATGATTTCTGCAGTGATAAAGCTGAGTTATGTGACGTACGCTGGTGCTCAGGCTGGGGCTAAGATTAGTTCTGGTCTATCTGTTTTTAGAAGCATTTAAAATGCAGAATTTCTCATGTATCAGGCTGATAACATTGCCCTTGCTTAGATGGAAAGGACCTTATGTGTGACAACCTGTGTCAGTTTGCAGGATTACTTTCAGGCACATGGAGAGCAAGAAGAGGAACAACTTGCAGGAATGTGGTGGTTCAGCAGCTGGAGAATAGAAATGGAAGCGTGGGTGAGAAGTGATTCTTATCCTGGCACAGGAGCTGATTGTTAGGGTACAAACTAATTTTGACTTTTCCAGGCTGAAACCTCGTATCAGGGTACTACAGTTAGAAGTGAGTGTGATACTAACTCTGATCCATCCAGGCTCCAAGACCACGGATTGCATAGGACTAAACTAAAAAAATTAAATCCAAAAGAAACCTCCAAATGCTGCCATGTGTGTGGTGTCAGGCCAGACATGATGCACGCCTCAGTGCATGTATGTGTTTGTCAGTGGTGTTAAACAGGATACAGCAAGGGCTTCTATGAGCAGCTTGGTTCACTGACATATGTGAAGCATGGGGGGAGGAGCAAAACATATGGCATYTTCCCCTTAAAATAAAATAAAAATAACATATAGGAGACAAATGTTACTTGCCCTGAACTTTGCTGCCCTTGTGTTCCAACAAGTGAGCTCACTTCACCATACAGCTTCCAACAGGGCTCATTTTACRTTCCCCCCACCCCTGCTGCTGGGGGGGAAATTGCACAGCTTCTCAAGCTGCTTGGTTAATGATTTAAAAGCTTCAGATTCCAAATATCTAGATAAATCCTGGTGTTCTGCTTTCCATCCAGCATCGCTTGCACAGACTGAGGCATTATTGCATTAAGGGGATGCACGCCCACGGCACACAGCCCCTCTGCAGAACAAATGCTGCTGGAGCCTGCTGTGCGGCCGYGAAAGCCTCCAAGGTAAAAATAAACCTGCTCCCACCCGCACAGGGATACAAACAAAGGAATGCTCCAGCTCCGGAGAGCGCTGGCTCTGAACTGCTGCCCAGCCACACAAAGCCTTTCACACCCTGCACCCCCGGGAGCCYGTGCTTTGTGAAAGGGAATGGATGGGCTGCACTTCCCTTTGCTTCCCTTTCCTGCAGCCTGCCCTGGAAATCYGAAACCGCAGAGCCTTCGGAACCTGCTGGATTCCTCTCCCCTCGGGGGAGGGCAGTGCTGGCCACACAGGAAGGGGGGGCTGGCTTTCACCCTGTCCTTYGGCAGAGGGGCTTTCTGATTTATGTCCAGTGTTCTGGACCTGGGCTCGTTTTGTCTCCTGAAATCTCCGGCCTTGGTTCCAGGTGACAACATATGACAATAGTGATTTCTTATCCTGACAGCAGAACATGCTGAGCAGAGTTTTCTACACCAAGCAGCAAAGTATGTCTGTCAACACTTCCTAGAGCTGGAGTGTGTTCACCTAAACTGTTTTTGCTCTTTTAGACTCTCCCAGCCTTYTCAGAGCAACACTGGTGCCAAGACTGATGGCTTCCCAAACAAACGCCAGTCCACCTGGCAGACCCTGGGCTGGAGCCCAGGGAAAGTGGAAGGATAACAGAAGTAAATCCCCCAGCCTGCAGAAGGTATTAAAAGTGATAAAATACAAGGGAATGCCTGGCACATCCTTCTCCATAGCTGTCTTCCCTCTGCAGTTTAATGCTGCCAGTGGGCCAAGAGCACCAAGTATTTGGTTAGGAAAAAGCAAGAAGCACATCTTCCCCTTCATCCCCAAATGCACTACAAGGTCACCTGTAATGTCTGTGCAAGCTGACAACTGACCTCTGTAGCTCATTTTGGGGAGCAAATGACAGTTCATCACAGAAAACCTCCATCAGAGACTCTGTTGTACATGACTTGTGAAAAACAGGAAAAGTGCAAAAGGAATGGGATCACCATGCTCCCTCTGTCCCCCATTATATATACACCAAAATACATCTGCATTTAAGAGACATTACCTCTGGGCAGCTTCTTGCAGTTTCACAGGYTGCTTGGCACTGAGGTAAATCAGGCAGGCATCTGCCACTTTATTCAGGTCACTCTCGCCTGCAGGAATGGAACAGGAAAGAAGGGTAGGAGGTGACCTCCTCAGCAGCTGCTGCCTAATGGAATCAGTTCCAAATTGGCAGCAGAGGCTTCTGAGCCTTTGAGCTGYCTGACCCAGAGCTCTTCTGACCTTGCCTTTTAAACATTTACTGCAAACAGGAAAGCAATCAAGGGCACTGAGAGGAAAAGAGCAACTAGCCAGCAAACCTTCTCCCTCATCAAAGACAGCTCCAGAAATTCCACTTGGGGAGAATTTCAGAGAGTTTCATTCAATAGAAGAGTGTSATGTGCTGGATTTAAAGAGTCATCCAGACATAAGCCCAAATGGAACCAATCAAGCTGGGCAGAAGTCTGATCTGGGCTCCAGTTTGCCAGTAAGAACAAAGCACGGCCCAACAGGCCCTACAACAACCCAGGCACTCCACTCAGTACCCCCTTCTCATGCACAAGTGGGATGAGCAATCARATTTTGGATGTGCTGGGAACCTTCTCCCCCCTTTGTCTCCTAGTGAGTTAAGGGTGCCCAGCACCGCTTCACAGAGCTCCTACAGAGGACAGATGCAGGCTGGAGAAGATCAAGAAATCAATTCTGTGGGCAGCAGGAGGAAAAGCAGCAAGCTGAGATGAGAGAGTAAAGTCTGGCAGAGATCCACRCAACCTATGCTTTCCCTGGTACTCACCCATGTCCAGTCTCTCGCAGAGGGAGCCCAGGCCCTGCAGCACAGCCAGCTGCAGCTTGAAGGCCAGTGTGTGGCTGTACACAGGCCCAGCCCTGGCACTTGCTGGGGCCTGGCTGAGGAGGGAACTGGTCAGCTTGGGCAGGACATCTTTGGAGAATCTCCGCCTCAGGAAGTCCCCACAGGTTTCAGCCAGGGTACACAGAACCTAAAAGAGACATCAGTTACAGGAGAACAGCACATAGAGGGGCCTGGGAGGAGCTCAGTGATCCCACACCAGCCTGGGGGATTCAGGCATTCATCCTCTCTGGAGAATTTTTTTTGCAAGTGAGAGCAATGTGACCACACCTGCCCCAGYTTCCCCATAATGAGCAGAAGGTGAACGTTTGAGAGGCTGAGTGAGCTGCACCCTGCCCTGCAGTGACACCTGGCTGACCTCCTGGGCTGCCCTTCCCTCATTAGCACAGTAAAGGTAAGAGCAGCTGTCCAGTCTTACTCAGAATTACTGGAGGAGTCTCTGATGGAAAATGCCATTAAACATCATTATATCCTTAAACCTCTTTTGTGGTGCAGACAGCCCATCTTTCCAMGCACATCAGCAAGCAGAAAGGCCAACTGGTCACAGCACAGGGCACCCAGCACTACTGGTGTGTGAACAGGATCAAACTCAATGTGGGGASAGAAAGGCTCTAAATGCATGTAAAAGCAAAGGGGGATCCACGTGGCCAGAACACTGATCTCTCTTGGAACTTCACTGAGCTCGTGGTCTCAGTGTGCAGGACTGAGATGATGGTTATGTTGTGTTTGCTTTAYATTGTTACGACATTTCTTGTCCTCGAATTTAGGCAGGAAGACACTTCAGGGAGAATTCATACAACAAAACCCCAACTGGGTGCTAATTGTAATGGTGACTTGAACTTTTTAAAAGTTAATTAATTTTTTATAGCAATCTCTAACCCCCTTTTAGGGCAGGCACATGATAGCTATGGCTATTCTGAGATTCTAGTGCGTGGCTTCTGGAATTTGGGGAATGAAAACTCACTTTATTCACACCAAAGGATTCCAAACTGAACATCACTCTGCCCAGCAGATGAATTCCTCTGCAATGCTGGGGCTGGCAACCTCRGGAAACATGCTTTATTGGCCAGCCTGTGAGTCAGGAGGAGAAAGGAGCCAGCTGACAAGGTCAGAAGCTCTTTAATAATGTTATTATAGGGCCAAGTCTTTGTTTAACCTCTCCCCTCCCTTGCCGATGCCTCAATCATGAAACGTTCCCTTATCTTCAATCTGAAATTTCCAAAGATGATGCTGGGAGTGTGGATCCAGCAAGACCAAGCTGCACTGTACAGTGCCCCTAACAGCTGCTCAGGCTGTAGAACTGTTTTTCTCATCCCTGCAACAACCACCAACATTGCTGCTTCCCCCAGGAACAGCATCAAGGACAGGCTGCAGTGGGAGTGGTACACCGACCCCATGCTCCAAACCACATTTAAACATCACTGCAAGGGCTTGTGCTCTCCCCTGGGCTGCAGCACTGCCTGAGCCACTTCCTGCCCCAGCCCCAGCTGGAAATGCTGCTGGCAGTCACTGCCATACCTTGAAGGCTCTGAGCACTGCCAGAGGGTCGTCACTAATCAGCCGGGTGACGAGAGCTGGCCAGACACGGTGAGCCATGGGAAGCAGATGGTTTCCATGAGGATGCAGCATGGTCACGCAGAGCTCCAGCACATCCAGGACCTGGGCAGGAGGGGAGGGAACAGAYTCTGAGTGCTGCAGTGCCAGGCATTAAGGTGGATCCCAGCATCATGCTGGGAAGCCAGGAGGAGGAGGGGTTGACTAGCAAAGGGTGCGGTTTTACTGCAGCAAGAACGGGGACAAGTGAACAGTGCTTAGAGATCAGGCCTGTATGGAAAGGGACAAGCACTGCRGTGACACAACCTGTGCTGGGTACAGAGCTAGGCTGGGAGCAGGGCAGAATTCTTGGATTCCCACAAGCTGAGCTGCACACTTGGACCCCACTGTGGCTGTGGAAGCCAGATCACCTGGCAGAGCTGGGGCTGCTGGGATGAGAATCTGGGTTATGCCTCATTTTTCAGTCTCACTTTGCACTTTAAAAGGAGGCCACCTTCAAAGGGTTTTCATAATTAGAAAAGAGCCAGGCTTTTAGCCCTGCTTATCATCACCCCAGCAACTTCAAAAACATTCATCAGCCTGTGCACTGCAGCCTGAGGAAGGGGGATGGGAAGCACAGATGGGAGAAAGATGCTTCTGTTTCCTCCACCAAAGGACAAGGCACAAGACTGAACTGTCACAAGCATCAAGAAGTGCGCAGTACAAAGCCACCCTTAAGATTCTGTTCTGCCCGGCTGCCATTCCTAATCCAGAGTGCTCCCAAAAATCTCTCTCTCTTTCTCTTGCCAGGCTTGGGAAGATCTGTCCTGCTCGAGCATATGGCAGCACAAACCTGGGGATGGCAGGGAGCCCAACGTGCACGGTGCACACGCTGACGAGTTACCAGCCCCTTCATGGGCACCATCTGTCCCTCAGAGCCGGCGATTACCGACCTTCAGCCGCACTCGGAGGTTCCCGTCAGACAGCAAGTGGATGCACCTCTCCATCACATCCCTSGCCACCTGAGCATGGCTTGGCATTGGAGCTTCTCCTTCCATGTCACAGCTGGGCTCTGGCATAGCATGGGGAATTTCATCTGGAAGACAAAACCAATATTGAAGTCATGAAAATTACTTGGGAGCTCTGGGTGCACAATACCCACTCACAACCATTCTGCAAAATCCTAAATAAGGCCTCTGGCATTKTTTTAATGTGCTTAGATATAGTTAAGCCTATGAGTTCTGTGAGTTGGTGTCAAGTTCACGTAAGAGTGTGGGGCTAGGGAATGTTCGCTTTCTTTACTGGACAATGCAGCTAGTCTGACATTTGCAGTCTCTTCTCACCATGGACTTATTTCCCATTGATTTTTATTAAAAATGAAAAGCCTGGGTATTTAAAGATGAAATATTTAAAGGTCAGGATTGCAGCACAGCCCAGTAAAGACTAAAAAGTTCCCTATATGAATGTCTGCAGTGCTTGCCAAGGCCAAGTGAGAAGGGAGCAGTGGCATCATTAGCCAGGAGAAAATAGTACAGAGATTCCCAAGGGAGCATGAGGAAAATGCATAGGATCCTGGAAAGATGAAACTTCAGGSCCTGAACCCAAATTAACTGCTATGAGGTAAGGAAAACCACAGTATGCTTGTGTCTTCAAGCTAGAGAAGCCTTGATCTGCAAACATTTGTCTTCCCCACTCAAACAGAACTAAGCAAGAACATCCAACAGCACTTTACATGAACCAAGGTCAGTTTGAAGAGGAGCTGAGACTGCTAGCTTGGTCACAAGGCCCCCCTTGTGACAAAAGGACACCTCAGACATCACAGTCTCTCTGCAAGCTGACCATGCTTCYCTCCAGCCACACACAGCACTGACCTGCCTCCTCCTCCTCCTCCAGGTCAGGAAGATCACCCTCTGAGATCTGCTTCTGGCTGACATAGTCAAGGAAGAATCGTTCCATTTCTTGCCTTGTCATTGTCACCTCCTGCTGCCCTTGGGACCGAGCCGCGCTCTGCCCTTTGCCAGTCTGCGTGTGCTCCTCAGTGCTGGGCACTCCAAACCACTGCACTGCAAAAGAGGAACTGACATGTCACTGAGCAACCATGAYCCCCTCCTGCAATCCAGCAAGGTGCCATGGATGCCAGAAGAGATGAGCAGGCTCTCATATCTCATGGGATGGCACCTGATCCATGCACCTGCTGTCACATCCCAGTCACCTCCCTGATGGTATAGGAATGTTAAACAGGAATACATGCCATGTGTTCCTACAGAATGTTCATGGGAGCAGTRAATCCATCCATTTCTCAGCCTCTAAAGGTAATGTTCCTGTGAAAGGCTGTAGGCTAGACAAACTGGAGAGGGGAAGCTACTGGTGATCTTTGCTTGAGTGCTGCCCCAGCAGGCARAGTGGCCATCACACTGCAGCACCCTGGCCACCTGGAGCCCCCCATGGCAAGGCAAGTGGAAAGGTCCAAGAGAAGCACCCTTAGTGAGAGCAAGGCTGCATTACACAAAGTAAACATCGTTTTGGTACCTAGAGCTGTCATGACTGAGTGGAGRACCCTGAGGAAGGTGAAAGCCTGGCTATTGTAGGACTGATCTAGTGCAGACAGGACATCTTGGATTACATCTTCTACCAATGGCAGCAAGCTGGCATCTGAATGCTTCAGCATYGTGTCCAGGACCTGGGATGCACGTGGCTGGTGTGCCAGCTGGCGCAAATTCAGGGAAATCCCATTCACCAGATAGTCAGAATTCTCATTAATCAAACGCTGCACTGAGTCGTAACCACAGGCCTCACATATGTCTGCCAGTGTCCCCAGTGCTGTCTCACTGATGAGCAGAGTCCTGTCACCAGCCTTTTCCAGCACAGGGTAGAGAGCTGAGAGCAGCAGCAGCCTGAACTCCTTCCCCAGGACGGCAGCAAAGCAGCCAACGCCCTCCAGCTGGATGCAGATCTGCCAGATGTTGCTGTTCATGGTGCGGGTTGTGACCGGGGGCTCCAGGGATGGAAGGAGAACGCTGCTGGACACTGCTCCCGCAAGGACAGAGAGTCCTGAGTGCTGCACTGAGAGCTCAGAGCTGCTTTCCTCTGTGTCATTGCTAGTGACCAAATACCAGTTTGCCTGGTCCATGTACTCATCCAGAATGGATGTTATGGACCCTTTGAGGTCATCCACATTCAGTGGAACTTCTCTCTCCTGCAGGACATCCACTCCCACTCCAGCAGCTCCCGTGACCAGCTCGTTGAGGATCATGGCTGCCTGTTTTCGGTACAGGCAAGACTCRTTGTACAGCCCCATGAAGTGATCCACAAGCAAGTAGAGGTTCCCATAATAGCCAAGAACACGACACACTTGCTGAAGGAGCTGGAAAACCTTCTCTTCTGTGAAGAAGCGGAAATATTTCTTCTGGCACCTGCCAGTCTGCACACCCTGCTGCAAGGGGCATGGTGGCCCAGAGCGCCGGGCCTCCACTATCTTCACATCTGTCACATCCAGCTCCAGAACCTGCACCAGCGCCTTGGAAAGGCGGTGTAGGTGGGACACGGAGTTGAGGACAATGTTAATCTTGGGGCCCAGCAGCTTCARGTAGCCAAGCAACAAGCTCAGTGTGGAAACCTTGCCTGTGTCGTCCTGACAGTTCATCAGGCGGGGAAGAGCTGTGGCAAGGGAATGGAGGTTCTCAGACAGGACATCAGCAAGAGCCCTGTTCTGGGCCACAATCCTCTGCTCTGCAATCCCTTGCAGAACTTCATTACACCTGCTCTGGACTTCACTGTTTTCATCATTAACCAGTCCAACCAAGCCCTTTAAGAGGTGACTGAACGAGTCCACCAATGACTGGCTGCAGTTCCTCAGTAAGTGGTGCACCAGCTCCACCAGCTCCAGTCTCACCTTCCAGTGRGGGTGAACTGAAGAAGACTCAACCACTTTATGCAGGAGAAAGGAGAGTTTTTCAGCAGTACTTTTACTCCAATCAGGTCCTCTATGGATCATTAGCTCTGATATTCTGCTTTGTTCCACCAGCAGCTTTTCCTTACTCTTTGGGATTCTGGCTAACTGTGCGTCCGCCATGACCAAGCCAACGATTAGATAAAAGAGTCTGATGGCAGAAACAGTGGGTTTGTGACCTTGTTTGATGTCTCCAGTAATAACCCGAGACAGTGTAATAGAAATTCCGGGCAGAAAAGAAGCAAACAAATCCCCACATCGCTGTGCCTCATCTTCATCCAGGTGTCGGTGCTCCTGGCAGTCACACTGCAGAACTAGGACCTGCAAGCACTCCAAAGCAGAGATCTTGATTTGCTTTGCTTTTTCTTGCTCTGCAAGTGTCAGAAGCAAAGACACAGCAAATCCTAAGAGCGGAAGGGTGGAAGGTTGGTACAGAGACAAGATAATATCCCCATARGCCGAATGCATCAGGGTGTGGAGTGCCTGGATCACAGCCAGCTTCAGCTCCTCGGAGAGCGGGGCAGCTTTRCCCGAGCTGGGAGGGGGAGCGAGGCAGGTACAGAGCTCAGAGAACAGCTCCTGCAGCAGCTCCTGTTTCTTCACGCACGTCGCCGCCAGCACGGAGGAGATGCACTGCACCAGGCTCTGCACCAGCCGCTCCTGCTTGGGCCCCGGCACCCGCAGGGCGAAGCGCAGCGGGAACAGCACATACTCCTGCAGCTCCTGCAGGGCCGCGCCGCTCACCCCGGCCAGGAGCGCCTGCAGCAGCCGCACGTTCTCCACCGTCTGCGCCCGCGTCAGCTGCACACASACGGGGCGCAGCGCCCCGAACGCCGCCTGCGGGGTATCGAACACGGCCATACCGGGGSACCGCGGGGCCCTGCCCGGTACCGGGGGGTCCTGCCGGGGATCGCGGGGCCAGGCCGGGCAGCCCTGAGGGTGTCGGAAGTGASGCCGCGCTGTGAGCGCCACAAAGCTCCCGCGGCGCGGGGCGGGCTCCGTGAGGAAAGTCTCGTTTGCCCACAATGCGCATGCGTTGGTGACGCGCACTGATGTACCGCGGCTGCGAGCGCCACAAAGCTCCCGCGGCGCGGGGCGGGCTCCGTGAGGAAAGTCTCGTTTGCCCACAATGCGCATGCGTTGGTGACGCGCACTGATGTACCGCGGCTGCGAGCGCCACAAAGCTCCCGCGGGCGCTGTGAGAAAAATCGCGGGTGCTCGCAGGGCGCAGGCGCCGGCCATGGTCGCGCATGCGCTGTGCCCGCCCGCCGCGCGGCCCGGCTCCCTCCGGCGCTCCGTACGATGCCGCCCCTCGCCCCGCGGCGGGGTCAGGGCGCGGGCGGCCATCTTGTGGCGGCGGCCCCGGCGGGTTGTTGTCGGTGAGGCCGCGCCGCGCCCCCCCCGCGGGCGGAGCAGCCCCGGCCCCATGTCCTCCTTCTCGGAGTCGGCGCTGGAGAAGAAGCTGTCGGAGCTGAGCAACTCCCAGCAGAGCGTGCAGACGCTCTCGCTGTGGCTCATCCACCACCGCAAGCACGCGGGGCCCATCGTCGCCGTGTGGCACCGGGAGCTCCGCAAAGGTGCGCGGGGGGTTTGTCCGGCGGGGGCCGCTCCCTCAGTCCCTACCATGAGGGTACGGGGGCTGCCCACGGAGCTGCCGCTGAGCGCGGCCGGTTCCTCCTCGCGGAGCTCCGCGGGTCGGCACCGGGAGAAGTTGGTGCCCCAGGAGTTTGTGGGAGCTGTTTCCCTCTTGTTGTTGTTTACTAAACTTTGGGGRAATACCACGTGTGAAAGGTGTATTCCGGTGATATAGGCGGTGTTTTTGGGAAGGCAGAGGATGGAGGAGCAGCCAAATGTGGGTTGAGAGGGAGAGGATGCCCAGCTCTGGGCGGGCAGTTTGGTGTAAAACAAGAGATAGACAAATTAAGTTCCCTTGGCTGTGTGCTCAGGGAAACTTGCAAGTGCTCTGGCTGTTTGGCGTCGTTTTTRAATTTTGGATTTGGATTCATACAACTCACCCATTATAGAATTACTGAGAGGAGATAAGCAAAGAAAAAGTAGTTGCAGAAATCTATAAAACTCTTTGGTGCTGTCATCCAGAAATATTTTGTGTTTGTTTTCCTTGCAGATCAAGTAAAGTTCAGGATGAAGCCATCTGCAAAATTACCTTAAGTCACGGGAGATTGACTAGGAACTAACAAAGGTGTCCCTGCCGATGGCAGTRGGGTGGAACGAGATGATCTTTAAGGTCCCTTCCAACCCAAATCATTCTGGGGTTCTGTGTGGATCCCTGTTCCCAGGTGCAGCTTTGGAAGCCACCAGTGTCACTGTTCCCACTGCGGGCTCCAGCACTGTGAGCCCCTTGGAGCAGCTAGGGTATCTTTTATGTGATTGCTAGTTGTTGCCATTTATAGTTTATTTATGAGTTTCTGGAAGATCTGAGTTTGCTCTGTTGCGGTAATAAGCACTTTTGTTTTCTGCCTCCTGGGTGTTCATGATCATTTTGCTCTGGAGAATAGTGAATCCCACCAATTCTGGCTGTAGGAAAATAGAAACTGGTGGTGTCAAAATAGGAAAGGTTAAGGTCGATGTTYCAGACATTATTTGGAAAATATTTGAGTCTTCGCAATAGCTTTCTTCTACAGTTTCAGTTCTAAATTATGGGGTTCTTTACCAAGAATTTTTCCATTTAATAAAAAATTAATTAATTGTTTTATGAATTTGCTGGTGGGTTAGAACAGCTTGTTTTAATTGTGTTTAAAATTTATTTATTACACAGTTTTTTTCAGAGTTGAGATGTCATTGTGCACAAAAAGCATTAAACTCGTGTTTGTTTTATGAATTAATTGAACAAAGAGTAGAAGTAAGGAGATTGARAACTACTTGACTTGAAGGCCCTGATTTGCCTTGCTAACATGGGAATGTTTTGAACTTTGTTTTTAGACTACAAAGCTATAAACAGCTTTGAAAGTCCTGTTAACGATTCCAGGTGAAAGAAGTGAGAAATAAATACAAACTCTCCCTTTTTTTTCCTCCTTTCTTCTTTTCTTTTTTTTTCCCCTTTCTCAGCAAAATCGAGTAGGAAGCTTACTTTCCTATATTTAGCTAACGATGTCATCCAGAACAGTAAGAGGAAAGGTCCTGAATTTACCAGGGAATTTGAATCTGTTCTTGTGGATGCGTTTTCTCACGTTGCCAGGTACGTTGCTGTTTTTCTTCAGCTTTCCTCTCTTGGGATTTGCATTCTTGTTGTTCAAAGTTTAATTCAGTTGGGTTTTGGGGTTTTTTTTAAGTCTCAGGGGTGCTTGTGCCCTCTCTCTAATAGAGATTGGACTGACTGTTTTGTGCTTGGGGACTGTTTAGTTTATTTGGGCAACCTTGTTTGTGTATGAACCAGCCCTTCACAGCTTCACATGTTTGCTCTCTAGTGCAGCTCCTATGAACTTTATTTCAATTGTTACCAAAAGATCTGGCAGACCTGTTTGTGGGCAGTTGGCTGTGTTTATTAAAGCCACATAATGAATGCTCTGCCCCATTGCYCAGAGACTTTAAAAGAGCTGATGTTTTGGGTCACTGAATTCTCACCAGCCTTCTGGTTTGAGCACAATTTCTTTGTGTGTTGCTTGTTCTGATGGTTACCTGACCAGTCATATCCTTGGTGGAGGAAGGAGAAATTTCATACGTGAAAGAGAAGAAGTGATGCAGCCACCACCTTATCAAAACCACACTGTTATAATGTTGTTTTATTGAGGTTGTCTCTAAATGCCATAATAATTCTTGTTATCTCAGCTAAACAACATTAATGCTCTGGGTGTTTGTTGTCTGTTCTGGAGGGTTGTCTAACTGTCACTGCRCACACACTCTGAGTGCATTTAAGTGCCTAATGATCCAATCAACATGCTTTAATTGGGATGTTATTGACTGAAACAACTGTTTAAAAGTTAATACTGAGCTGTAAACTTGTCAGCTTGGGGGCATTTTATAAACTCTTACAGCAAATTCTGAATGATAGCAAGTTTCTTCTTTGACAACTTTTCTTGCCTTTACATTGAGGTGGGAATGTGGGGCACTTCCAGGCAATCTTTAGGTCAAATAAAGGGGAAAATTGGTCACAAATGTATTCTGCACAGTTTCAGGCAGTATGAGCAAGATTCTCTCCAAGTGTTCACATATTGCAATGGATGCAGCTGCTAGTTTGGAAGATGCTCTCTGAAAACATAACGAGTGTTGATCAGCTGAACTATAATGATTTCCTAATCTTTGAACAGAGAAGCAGATGAGGGCTGCAAGAAGCCCTTGGAACGATTGCTGAACATCTGGCAGGAGAGGAGTGTGTATGGCAGCGAGTTCATACAGCAGCTCAAACTGTCTATGGAAGACTCCAACAGCCCCCAAACAAAAGGTAAATGTAAATTACTTGTCATGTGTGTTTTGTTTTCAAATTGGTGCATGTTTCACTGGAAATGCTGGGCTCCTTTAGTGGAGTTGCTGCCAGAACTCCTCATRGAGATTCTTCACGATTGTCTTGAGACGATTGATTTTCGTTAARCCCCTGGTTCTGGTTTGCAGGTTTGCTGTCTTGTGCCTTGTGGCTGGCAGTGAGCTTAACTGGACGTGACATCTGGTGTCACTCATGCAGACTGAGTGCTCCAGGCCTACCTTTTGGGGTGAAGGCAAGTCAGTCGTGTAGGGAACTATTGTGTCCACCTCAAGTCAAGTGTCGAGCTCTGCATCTCTGAGACTGCTCAGCTGGGTTATTAGAACGTTTTATTGAATACTGTTACTGCTTTCATTCTCATATTAATTGTTTTGTTTTCTGTAGTTACTATATTTTATTAAAATGCAGCAAGGAGTTCTGAATAATTGAAGTCTGGTATATATACCCAGAAGCTGGTCTGGTCTTTTTTTTTCTTCACCAGCTGACGTCATGTGGGGAAAACTAACTCTGTATCATTTAATATCATTAGGACATCACAGGTATAGCCTCTTTACTGTATGATATGTGAGAAACTGAGCATAAGCTTGTGTTTACTGTGCTTTGATGCTGCCTTGGCAGATCTTACCTCTTCTATAGCAGTTGGAATTGTTTCACTGGTAGTGCGCCAGAGGAAAGAGGGTTGCAGTGGGATGCCTAAACTATGGAAAGTGAGGGTCATTAAAAGTCAGGAATGTTCTAGTCAAGGGGATATTTGTCCACCTTGCAGCTGAAGGCAGTRAATGCTCCATTCCTGGAAGTGTTCAAGTCTGGGTTGGGTAGGGCCCTGAGCAAGCTGRTCTAGTGGCAGGTGTCCCTGGCCATGGCAGGGGGTTTGGAATGAGATGGCCTCTAAGGCCCCTTCCATTAAGCCAGTCTATGATTCTGTGAAGTGTCAGTGTCTTCAAATGAGCTGGAATGACATTGCTGCTCTGGTCATATTTTTTTCTATTCCACACAGAGAGTGGTGTGAGAGAGTGATGGTGTGAGAGAGCTGATTTGTTCATTAGCAAAGGGCTCTTATGCTGTTGTTTGGTGGTGAAAGCAAGGTCTGATTGAGTTGATATTTAATGTAGAATTAATATGGAGATGTGAGCATAAATGAGACCTATATGTGAAAACATCTCTGGCTGTAGCTTTGTGTTTTTTCACACACTGCTGGCTGCAGTGAATGAGACACCTGTGTGCCATTGAAGGACAGAATTTATGTTTGTGATAATCCTGACCTGATTGAGGTTTTGAAACTTTTAATTTAATGCACCTGGCTCAGTGTTTCCCAAGTGTTACACTYTGAATCTAAATGTATTTCTAATTGTTACCATGTGTTATTTCCTGGTCAGTTGGCAACCAGCTGTTGCTCASTGTCCTTTCCCTTTGGCTCATGGTATCAACCACTTTTTCTACTGTTGTCTTCTCAACTTAAAAACATTAGTACAAAATCAATCTTCTTGAGAGTAACAGACCTTCGTCTGTAGGAAGCAGTGTGAAGGAATACAACCCCTTTAAGAACTACTGTGTGCACAGCTTC